CCTCTCTCTATATATATCTGAACTTTTTATTGTCCGTTGACTATATCTTTACTTTGTGTAATGATCGTTTCCTATTCTGTTTTAGATATCCTAACCCGTCAGCATTCACATATGAAAGGCGTCTCTTCGTTCCTTTTGAGTATGCTCTCCAACCTCCTCCATGGTATAAAGCAGAGCATGTTGTAAACAAACCGGAGGCACCTTTTGGGAAGCACTGAAGCAGTACATGGACCTCAGTGTTTTATAATTCCTGGAAACCATGGTTAGTGTACACTTCGACTTGAGCCACTCTGAATTGTCTTTTCGCGGAACTCATGCAATAAATCATATTTTCCCTCCTGAAATTCCCCCTTTCTATCTTTCCTTTCATAGATTCTAAATAATTTTTCCATATTTAATGCCAATGTAATGTGGTAATCTTCATGGATTTACAGACTGGTTTGATGGACTTCATACCTTTATGAGATATATATGTCATAAAAGTTGGTTAGGTGGGTGGTTCATGCCCCAGAAGAAGAGTTATTTTGCTTTGCAACTTCCTAAAAGATGGTGGATTTTAGGGCTTGATCAAGCACTCCATGGTGATATTGATGCTTACCAATTCAAATTCTTTTCAGAGCTTATAACGGAGAAGGTATCCTTCATGTTACTTTGATATGTTCGTGGAATATCATGAACGTTTCATGGCAAATGGCTTCTTCAATAAGTGTTTTATTCCTGCAAAGGTCAATGCATGAGAAGCACTGTTATTTCGAAAATCGATCCATAGCTGTATTACGGGCCCATTCGATGCCTAAGCACTTTGTTCTCTAGGTCTCTAGCACATGTATCATTGACCTTTTCTTGGCCATGCAGTTTGAAATATTTCAAAATGCAGCAGTTGTCATGCAATGCAAAAAATGACTTGAGCTTAAATAGAATTCTAAAAGCATGAATAGAGATGATGATTGAAGTTAAATTTGAATTGCAAATCTCTAGTTTCAATTCTTTTTTTTTTTGGCACTCGTTATAATCCCTTTATTTTAATTTAAAATATTTATTTAAAACTTAATTTTCTTATATTGCTCTCTTTTTCACTAGTTAATTTGTTACGCATACAGACCCCTCTCCCTACTTGGATATTAAATTTAGAAATTTTCTTATCTTTACATATCGTATTACATATGATACACTTTTCTATTAATACTTCTCACATTGAAAGTGACATTATGAAATAATAAATAATTATATTAAATGATTACCTCTCTCCCTTGTTAGTTTGTTATAGGAAAACTTCCATGAATATTCCTAAATCTTTTTTATAACAAATCAAATGGTGAGTTTCGTGCGTTGCATGAAAATTCATATAGCAAGCCACACTATTTATAATCTCTGAGTCACGCAATTTGTTATAAGTTCTAGTAATATGTAGATAATGAAGATATTAAAAGTGAAAGGTCTGTGAAAAAGGTATGCTGTTAGCATTGCCTAGTAAACTTAAAAGTACCTTCCTCCCTCTGAACCCTATTTTATCTATTCTTTTGGATAATATGACAATGTACGACTCACTTGTGTACCATACTACAAGGAATTCAATTACTATCAGCAAATATTTCCTGCAATATCTAGTTCGTTAATGAAGTTCATTTTGCTATATTCATCACTAACTCCACTATTCATGTCCTCCTTAGTCACCCTCCCTACCTCTCCCTTTTTTCCCTCCAGTTATGAACGCTCATGTCTCTGAATCTCCGACCTGTGATACAATTCATTTTTTGTTTCATCAGATGGTCGATATACTTCCCCTTTTAAAAATGTTACTGACCGCAATTCTGGGTTTTCCTTTTTTTTTTTTCTGTGAAAAATTATGGAATGTCCCCCCCCGGGTGTACATGTTTTGTACCTCTCTAATTTGACCAATCCTCCGGTTAAGCATACACCCTAATGTGATCGTGTTTGATTAAGGTTCAAGAGGATGATTCTGTGATCATCATGACGCATGAACCCAGTTGGCTTCTTAATTGGTACTGGAACGTTGCTTCTGGGAAGAATGTTTCGCACCTAATTTCTGATTATTTAAGAGGAAGATGCAAACTTAGACTGGCTGGGGACTTGCATCATTACATGCGTCATTCTTGTGTAAAATCAGAAGGGCTAGTCCATGCTCAACACCTACTCATAAATGGCTGCGGTGGGGCCTTTCTACATCCAACCCATGTTTTTAGCAAATTCCATGAATTTGATGGCCTTTCCTATGAATGCAAAGCTGCATATCCTTCCTTTGAAGACTCAGGCAGGGTAATTGTGACGTTGATATTTGCTTACAACTTTGTTGCTCTTAATCGGTGCCAACTTAATGATGTGTATCACCATTCTAGCACATGATTATACAACATGTTTGGCCTGGTGCAGATTGCTTTAGGAAATATACTAAAATTTCGCAAGAAGAACTGGCAATTTGACGTTATTGGTGGAATCATATATTTTGTGCTGGCCTTTTCAATGTTTCCACAAGTGAGTTTTTCCATTTCGTTGTTTGCTATTTTGAGATATATTGCGTTCATTCTCAACTGAAATTATGGCTTTAAAGCCATTTCTGTGTCGTTCTTTCGTTTTTCTGTCTTGTAGAACAAGCAAGAGCTAGAATAAGTGATATTTTATGCCATTAAGTCGTGACTGTTTTCTTTGACATGATTTATAGTGTGACCTCAATCACATCCTGCAAGATGATTCATTTTCTAGTCAATTGAGGAGTTTCTTTCGTACTGTGGGGAATGGATTTTCATACATCTTGGAGCACTCTTATGTTTCACTAGTGGGATCTATGATTTTGCTGATTGCAGCAAATTCTTTTGTTCCCCCCAAAGTGTCATGGAAGAAACGAGCAATTATTGGAGTTCTTCATGCAACTGCTCACCTAACTGCTGCTTTGACACTCATGTTACTTATGGAACTTTGTGTCGAAACCTGTATCAGACATAAATTACTGGCGACTTCCGGTAGGTTTCTGTTCTCCAATTTGCTTTCATAGAATCATTCTCACTTCTAAATATGTCGTAATTTCGTGAGGCTCCAGATCGTAAATGCTTATATCGTAAATAACCTTTTTCCATCCGGTCATGTTATCTTCAATTTGATGTGGATTATGCGGATAGGCAATGAATTGCCAGAACTCAATATTGTTTTTCTTCTTGGCCCGAGATATTTTTATGACCCTAAGCTCGTGAATTTACGACAATAAAAATGAAAAATAATTTTGACGCTTTATAGATTATGGTCGTTACTATGGAGTTTTTTCGGGGGTATGATGCTAAGGTAGCTTCTGTATCACCCAGGTTATCACACTTTATATCAGTGGTATCGATCAATGGAAGGTGAGCACTTTCCAGATCCAACTGGCCTTCGATCTCGTATGGAACAATGGACATTTGGACTTTATCCAGCATGTATTAAGTATTTGATGTCTGCATTTGATGTTCCAGAAGTAAGGAAGCTCTCTAGGCTCCCTCGATCTCAGATTGTTATGACCCTGATTACTGTCTAATCAATGGAGAGAATTTTCTCAGGTCATGGCTGTCACGCGAAACCATATTTGCAAGAACGGAATGGGGTCACTTTCTCGAGGAGGCGCCGTGATATATTATGCTTCAGTCTTCCTGTACTATTGGGTCTTATCAACCCCAGTTGTTTCATTTGTGTTTGGAAGCTACTTGTACATTTGCATCAACTGGCTTCACATCCACTTTGATGAAGCTTTCTCGTCCCTACGAATTGCTAATTACAAGGCATTCACAAGATTTCATATTAATTCCGATGGTGACCTTGAAGTCTTCACTCTTGCGGTTGATAAGGTAAAAAAATCCATAATTTTCCCTGAACAGCTGTTTTATACAAGGTGGGACTTTGAGTCGGGAAATACTGGGCCACTCGACGCCGTCATTCACATTAGTTTTCGTAATAATTTTATAGGAAAAGGATTAGCACACGCCCTGCTGTGTAGATCTCTAAAGCCCCAAAACAGCCTTGCTATTTAATCCAGACTCACTGCTCTAAGCTTGAGAAATGAATTGATCATGACTTGGAAACAATACAACTCGAGTGTTATTGTTCTAAACTGCTGGGCGTGTATAATGATCAGACAATTTGTTTAGCTGATGTCACTCTCATGTTAAGCTTCTAGAGCACGATGATAAAATGGCCTGTTCTAAATGCTGTTAATTTAATATATGATCATTTTTTATGATTTTCGCGGGAATTTGATTTGCTTTCTTCGGTTTATGAAACTGGGACGCCATTTTGCTAGCGCAGGTTCCAAAGGAGTGGAAACTAGACCCTGATTGGGTTAGAGAGCCAATAGATGCAGAGCAGTTGAGCTATTTGAGAAGGTATCCCAGCAAATGGAGGGCGGCTACAGCACAGCAGGACCCTGTGCAGTCTGTTAAAATTATTGACCATTTCGTTATTCGGCAAACGGATAAGAATAATAGGGGAACGCGAACAGAATCGTCCGCTAATGAGGCTCTTCAGTGATCTGGTTCTCCGCAGTCTGGGAGTAGGAAGGACTCAAACCTTTTCAAATGTCATGCATTGTAAATAATCGGTTCCATTCATCATGGCTCAACATATTGTATCCTTCTAAAAAGTAATTGAAAGGAACAACCTTTACATGTTAAGGTTAAGCTCTTCGCATAATTACTCCACATAAAAATATTTCAGATAACAGATTATATGTTATCATGTGGACTAACTTTTCAATTATGGGCTGCATAATCAATGATAAACTGCTTTGGATCCACTAATTTTTCAAGATCGATCCTCTAAAATATTATAAAATGCGCATTAAGAAACAAAACGTCACACAGAAAACTAATTTAAATGTTCTGAACGGAAGAGGGAGAAAGAGTAGTTAGCTCTTCAATTTTCTTCAGAGAAGGACGTGCTTGCAAGAAATTTCTTTCCTATGTGTCAAAAACGGTCGGGCGGGTAGAATACATTTGAGAGCTATGATGCAGGATCACTAATACAGGAAAAAAAGTTTTCTCTTCTTGTTTTTTTTTTAATCATTCCGAAGTATTAAAAATAATTGTACACCCAAAAAACACATTTTCATGGACTGCATCGTTCGTCATTTTATTGGGGCAAGAAAGGGTAAGACGGTAAGTGTACCATTTGCCCCTCTCGATTCATCTTGGCTCCACAAGATAAAAGCTCCAGTTACGAGGAGTAAAAGGAGAAAAAAAGGGGAGTTCTAGAATCTTACCATTAGGTCACTGCTGTTGATTCAAGCATCAGAAAACTGCCTATAAGATGATCAGCCGAACAATCTGCCCCAAAAACCGGAATGACTTCGTTGCTTCTTTTAAGCATCTATTTTTTTCATCTCGAGTCCAATGCTGCATTAACCAGAATTAGGATAAAACTGAAAAATTTTATTTACAGATCACCGAAACATAAAATTTGAAAGAAGAAAAATTAGTTGGTGGACTCTTTGTGCATTGCAATAAAATTTGAAAAATAACTCGCATTATTTCCAAATCATGGAAACATTGATGATTGATGCCAAAGCCAGATGAAAAGTATTCTTAAATACCGACCTCGCTAAGCATATTAAGCTTCTCCCGAACCCCTTTCAGTGATTCTGATACATCTCCTTCCCAGCTGTAGAACTCCAGCTCCTTCCCTTCCAGGAGCTTTTCAGAAACCTAAAAGCAACACAATGACAAAGAAAATATGGTAACAGAAATCCTTGATGAACAGATGGTGTTTCCACGATTCAAATCTCCCATAAAAGAAAAAGATACAGCCTTAATTGACTACAGGGTTTTCGGACCAACTAATAATATTGGAATACCCGACTAAACATTGATTTGTACATGTTAGCATAAGTATATATCTGTGAAAACTGACATCTAGGTACTGCTTCTGTTGCAACATGTTTTGATTAAATAAGTGAGACACTTAATTATTTTTTGCATAAACATACAAGCTGCGAGAAGGTCTGACGCAGAGTCAGTAAGAGACCAACTCCAAAATCTCATAGATTGACAACGACATAAATTTGCATGCTAAACTTTACAAATGATCACATAGACAAGAATCCAGGAGAAGTATTATCCATACCTTTCTGGCTATCACTTGACCACCCGCTATATGTGAAAAATATATATTATACAAATGACAGAGAAATAATGGTGCACTGTTCTCAGCAAGCTCCTCCAGGTATTTGGCATAAGAAAGTCCTGGAGAGCTGGGATCGGGAATCATAAATCCTCGTTGGCTAAACCATTCCAGATCCTTTGAAAGGCTTTCCGATCGTTCCAACCCATTCCTCCTGAAATAGGCATCTGAAATGCATAAAAAACGGATTTCCCTGAGGTTTAGACGTTAAGAAAATGATTGACCAGCTAATTATTCAGTCACATGGTTACCTAAGTAAGCATATTTGCAAGGCATCATTATCGAGTACCTTGGAGTAGTAATTTATAGGTTCACCACTTAAAACTTACCTCCACTTTCGTATTTGCGCTCTAAACTACTATAATGCACTACATTTATCATCGAATACTTGTGCTAAGCCTGTCAGAAATCATGTTAATATACGATTTCAGCTCATTTAAAATCACACTATCTGTACTATACTACAATGATTGGTCACTGATGCCTTTTTTTTCCCAATAAAATTTGTAAATAATCAATTTCAGGTGAAATAATTTCAAAACTATAAATGAAGCGACCCAAAACGAATGTGCTATCGAGTTTGCAATGAAAGAACGCTCTAGTAGGTTGATTAGATCAGCGGAGGCTAGAGCAGCAGATTTGTCGCGTTGCACATGAAAATTTCAGCAAGTGATGGACAAGATACAATTTCCTTGGTCGGTATTAAAAGTTGGGAGTCAGGAACAAGTAACTTACAAGAAACATCTCCGGATTCATCCACGATGCGTTCGACGGTGGTGAAAATGAGCTTGCTATCAACCAGGTACTTGAGGAATCCCTCCATGCTAGGCTGCCACGTTTCATCTTCACTGCAGTTATCTTCTTCATTTGATGTTTCTAAGCTGTTACTATTGTCAGCACCGTCGGTGCTATTCTCGTTGTCAGAGTATTTCTTGCCATTAATGTTACGGAGCCTCATGGCGACGAACCTCATTTCTTCAGTGATTCCCGTGCTCTCTCCCGGGTAAAGCTTTCTGTACCTCTTTCGCTTCTTTAGAACCGGAGGAGCATTATTCACCGACATCGGCGGAGAAGACGAAGTAACCGCCGTGGAAGAGGTAGAATCAGAGCAGATAATTGAGCTCTGAAAGTACCTCATCTTCATAGTTGAAATTGTGGACACCTTCAATTGCGCAGAGTTAGGTGATGAAAACGGCAGCCGCAGAAGAGGCTTGTGCGGTAGTTTCGCCGTCAACCACATCGCTGCAGAAATTGTTTGCTCTGCGTTGTGTCCCGCCGTCTAGCTCGGCTGGGCCAGCAATCGCAACTTAGTATTTTAAATGGAAAATAACATGTCAGTTTTTTTTGGGCCTATTTTTGCCAACTGTTTGAACTTAACCCTAAGTCATTGATAAGTTGTGCCCGTATTTTAAACATAACAATTTTCTCAGCCCCTAAGGATGACCTTTTTTAATTTCTTTTAACCTTGGAACCCTAAAGATGATTAGAATTAACAGCAATCAAAATAATCTCCCCCGTCACCAGGAAACACTTAAAATTTTTATAGCATAACAAGTAAACATCATTGGAACCATGTTAGCTACTAGCTAGCCCGGTTAGCCCAAGCCTTCATCCGGTGAGTCCATCTAATCGGGCCCAACTTAACTAGATTACATTGGACCAGTCAAGCGGACCAACCAGATGAATAATACTCCTCCGGTCTAAGACTCATTTAACTAATCTGATTAAATTAAAAAAGTTAGGTAAGTTAGTTAATTATAAGAAATGTGACAAGTTTTTCCTAAAATATCATAATCATCTTTTTTAATACCCCCTCTTCTTCTTCTACTTGATTATGGTTATAGGAGTATCCATAGAGGTAATTTAAAGAAAATTAATAAATATAAAAAATAGGTTTTATATTTAGGACCAAAACCAACTCAACAATTAGATCATACATTAAGGATTGGAGGAGTATTTTTCATTCACAGATACTCTGAGAAAAAAAAATATTATTCATTTCTTCACAGGCTTAATTTGAACTAAAACACATAATAGGTAATTTGTTAGACGTCCAATTTACTGTAAATTTTATATTCTAGACTATTCCCCTGCAAGTACACAGGTTAAAAAATTACATACTTTACCCTCTGCATTGAATGTGAAGAGGGCAAAATGAAATAAACAGTTATACAGGGATTATTATTTAAATTTAATTAATATAATGATTGCAAAATATATTACGGGCATCGAGAAACTTATGGAATAAAATAAGAAGAAAAAAGAAGCCATATGTAAAGAAAGCAAAAGACCTAGCTTAGTGACTTGGTCGTTTATTCTCATTAATTTTGTTTACTCTTGTATGTACAGGGTCAATGATTTGCAACCCCAGGGGCTAGCACCTAGCAGCAAGCTCGCCTACAAGTAAAACATCCAGGAAACTGGAATTTTCAAATAAAAGACGAGTAAGGAATGAAAAATATACAACTTTGGCAAGCCCAAACCTAATAGAAGACTTGCACAAAAGCTACTCAGCTCATGTTCACAAAATTACAGTCAGGCGCCTGTTCCAAGTCTAGAAGCTTCCCCAAACATGCACGTATAAGCTATCAAGCCTGTAATCCTCGAGCTTGTACAGGTATTTACAAGAACTCTATCAGAAACGTCTCAGGTATAGTTAGCCTTTAATTTCCGTATGAACTCTAATGTCTCCTTGTAAGAAGGGTCAGTACGGCTCACCGGTTTGCAGGAATTTACATGATCTTTTGACTCCAAAACCTGCTTCAAAATTCCAAGATAAATAAAAGGAAAAACTCTTAACAGCTGAGATGATTGCACAATCCAATCTAAATACAAAAGAAGATACAAGATAGTAAGGAACTCGGTTTGGCTTGTGGAAAATGCATTCTACTTGCGTTCATTTGTAATTATTCAGTTTTTTTTTTTTTATTTAAATCATCACTATTCAATTGCAAACCTTGTGGGGTCCTCTTCTCAATTACGATGAGTTAGCCAAAGCGCAATACCCCACCACAGCCAAAATTATATTTTCTTTGTTATTCCAGATAAGGGAATAGACAAACTGACATCTATTGACTTGCTCCTACAAAGTAACATAGCATAATAGGAGTGGATTTCCACGAAAGAAAGCCTAGCTTTAATCCTTTCAGATGTGACACAATTGTTTCAACCCCAGATGCCATTTGAACACAGATATCTCAAAAAGCCGGGCTCAAATATGCTATGGCTATAATATGTCCTACAGAAATAGGTGATTAGACAAAGGAAATGCAGTGGTAGTCAGCTGAAGCTCCAGAAACTTTGCATATCTAACAGGACTTGCAGGTGAATGTTGTCCAGCAAATATATTACATGGACGATTACATGAGGACATCTATCCAAATAATAATAGGCTTAGAAAGACTTTTTTTCTCTCCTGATGATTGTTAAAAGAGTAACCGCACAGTGCAGACAAAGCTAAGCCCAAAACGGTACTCCACAACATGTGGCTTTTTTTTTTTTTTTTTTGGGGTTCGGACTGATAATATTCAAACATTGCTAAGATGAATGCCAAAAGCCACACAGTGAACGATGAGCAACAGGAGACATATCCAGCAGTCTTTCAAGCAGGCTAAGAACGAGTTTTAGGATTACCTAAGTATAATAGATAAGCTCCACGCATGAAACTAAGGTGACAATGTCATAAACGCTGGCACTCTACTTTTCTTATAAGATAAAAACTAAGAGGAACTCATGTGAATACTTTTTCCCCCTCGTTCTAGTCAATTGAGTTATGATTTCACGATATACTCACCACCAGTTCACCAAATCCAGGATATGCTGATTCAATAGGGACAATTTCCACTCGAAAGGCCCATCCACCATAACCTTCGACTATAGGAGTTACTTTGGTCTGTAAAACAATCATTAGCTAGTCATATTCAAGAATAGACCCCAGCAGAGTAACTAAATAGAGGGGGGGGGGGAATAACTAAATCATTGACTACCTCACAAAAGCTGAGCACATCAAGCTTTCCTTTCTTATGAAGGTGACGAATATAATCATTGAACTCTATTAATCTTGAAGACCCACGTCTTAGCTCTCCTACCTATGAAACATTAAGAATTAAATGCTGAAAAAAAAAATCTTTTAAACCCAGCAATTATCAGAATGAGAAATCAACTTTAAAATCAGCATCTTCAGTTAAATATGTGCTGGTGACTTCATACTAACCGATGGGGCAGGACGAAGCACAATCCCCATTCGCCAAGGTACATCTGCAAGTTTGCTACCAAAATGTGGGCAGCTATAGAACACCTAAAACCCAAATTAAAACGTCAAGAATAAAGAAATTGCAAGAAGATTTTAAAACAAGTTATTTAAACACAGGCAGAAATCATACATGCAATGGAGAAGACAGGACTTACTAAAACAAGTTATTTAAACACAGGCAGAAATCATACATGCAATGGAGAAGACAGGACTTACAATTCCAATGGTATTATTCACAAGGTGATCAAAATTTTCCTCCTTTGCCTTATACAGAATTTGCTTCACAACCAGGCCCCCCATACTGCAAACAACACAAAATTGCATATATTAAATCATGAAGCGTACAGACAAAGTACATGGAATTGGAATGCTCCTTGATTCAACATTAGGATTTAAAAACCTTCAGCAAATGCATTTCGAACAAAAATCTTAAAGTAGTTGGTTCATTGAATAAAAGGACTTCAAGCAAATGGTGAGTCATAAAAAGGCCAAAAGTTTTACAATCCAAATAATACTTAGCAGAACGCTACCCCAATAAAAAGTAAATAAATAAATAAAAGCCCATGGAAAAATACATAGATTAATAAATAGGTGAAAACGTTACATTGAACCGTGCATCCCATGAGATTTCAATATTCATAATCTGAAAAAAAAATAATAATACTCCTCCGGTCCTTAATATATGACCTAATTGTTAAGTTAACTTTGGTCCTAAATAAAAGACCTATTTTTCATATTTATTAATTTTTCCTAAATTACCCCTACAGATACTCTCTTAACTATAATCAAGTAAGTGAGAGAGGGAGGATATTAAGAAAGATATTATGGTATTTTAGGAAAAACATGTGATATTTTTTTATAATTAACTAACTTACCTAACTTCCTTAATCTAATCAAATTAGTTAAATAGATCTTATATTTAAGACCAGAGTATATATAAGTATTTTCTTATTAATTCTTATTAATATAAAATAGAGTATTACACTAAGTAATAGATAAAGCAATGAACCATAATGAGGTGACCATATTTTAAAAAGAGAAAAAGACAAAAATTATAACATATAATGAATACAATAAGTTCAATTTCATAATTTTTTTCTTCAATTCTTGAAACCATGACAATTGAACGTTCTATCAATAAGTTCAAATTCTAACAGCAGTTTGTAAAAGTTATTTTAACTTCCTTTTCCCCCCCTCTACTGACGTATTGTAGACAACTACAACAATTTCAACTCCGCGTCTACAAAGTAATTAGTTGATTGACTTGATTCAGTCCTTGTCATTTTCTCTCCAATGTTGCATGCATTTTATCTTTACTTAACAGCCTCAAAAAAGATTTGTGAAAATTACTTTGCTTCCTTCAAATAAAAATATTTCACTTTGGCTCCTATCCTCAACTAATCTTATTGTGCTGGTCCATAAGTCAGTATTCCCCTCCCACCCAAAAAAAAGAAGCCAAAATAAGAAATCAAAGCCAAGAAAGAAGATTGATAATACTCTCCATGCACTATCTTTTACGGTTCTACTTTATCATCATGATTGATTTAGAGTTCTACTTGATCATCATGAGTAAAGAGAAAGATCGCTTGACAGTCAATAAGTTATCCTGTTAAGCACGAATGACTTTAGCAGTCAAAAGATACATCCAAAAAATCACAACAATAAGTATACAGAAAGCTAGCAAGGAATGGGTGCACATGATGTATCTCCCATGTAACGATACTAACCTGTGAGTCACAAAAATAACAGGTCGATTTCCAATCCCTGCAGCAACAAGCTTCTCCAATAACACGGAACTAACTTCCTGAAAATTTGCAGAAGTCATCAAACCAAAATGTAAATTGAGAGCAAAGAAACAACAAAGATGTGAACACAGCTGATATAAGAGAAGTAGAAAAAGCCAGACAACCATAACTATGCAGCACGGATAGAGGGGATGGGGATGGGGAATTGGTCACTGTTATTTGCCCCTCATTTGCAGACTGAAATCCAGAAACTGGCAAACTGAAAATGAAGGAACAGAAGGA